TTTATGAATTATTGTTACCTCAAATGGACATTTCTGAATTTTCGGGAACATAAAAGCTCCGTGAACAAAAAGTATAAGAACCGCTGCCATAGAGCGTATGTTACACTCGAGATCCGCTGGGTCACCTCTCTTTTACTGATAAGAATAGTTTCTACCGAGTTCTTTGGACACCTTAAAGACACCACGGCTTCTTTAGCCTAAGAAACATATACCAGTCAAAACAACCAACCCACGTGTACGATGACGAATACTAATGTCAAGACAATCTCGCTCAAGTTAGGCAGAATGTTCTGGACACAGCGATACTATCCATCAACGAAACAGAGACGCTCAACACAGTCACCTGGGACCCCCACATCTCGGCTCAGCCAGATAAGGTAGCATCAACAGACCACAAATATCTGGTTAAAACTAAACCTGACGATGACATCCAACTAGAAATGAAACAGGTATCGGCAAAGGCACGTTAAGATTACATCGCTACAGCGTTACCACGATTTCTTTATGTTCGTTGCCGGGTATTACCGAGCATTTGTCAGGACAACTATAATAAACTTTTTTGTTCACGGAGTGAGGATGTGTTCGTAAACAATAGCAAAATAATATAGAGTGTGAATCGTCTCCGCGGGAGCAGGGCAACACAAACTGATCGGTATCAAGAATAAAAATAACAAATAATAGGAAATTACAATAAATGAAACAATATCGACGGCGTTGATGACTGAGACAGCTGATACAACGATGTCGACGGCAACTATTAACAGTGGCACTGGACGACGGCGAGTGACCGGATTACGCAATGGCAATGCGCGACATTACAAAACCACAGCACTGAGAGTGGCGTCACGTGAGCGATATAAAAATAGTAATATCGATGTTGCACGGATATTATTCGTCGGTCGTGGTGCACGTCGGAATCTGACAATTGCAGATGTAACGACACGATGAACTATCGTGCGTGGCCGCGTGGGGTGTCGGCGGTGAACACGCGACAAAGGATAACCGTTGAGCAGAAGGCAACGATTTGACGATAGGCGGTACGACGTCGATGGTGAAACACAAATACGCTGGTCGAATAAACACGACGTGCGAAACGAATATACTATATAAAGGCGCGGACTTCTAACACGTCACGAAGTTGTCGCGATGGAACCATTGGAGAGCAAAAACCGGTCGGACGTGACGCAACGCACGGTCTGCTCGATTTGAGCACAGGACGGAGACAGTTATGAGTCGCCGGCTGTATCGCGGACCAGTTGCGCAGGGCGTAGTAATAACGGCGGCAAAATTGAACACCCTGAGTACCACAAAAGACCGTCCAAGTTTCTACTTTCATTCCCGTCGGCATGATCATTGATCCATGCAATCGGGCGCGTCCTCGGGTTACGGATAGGGGCACGCGCTGCAGACATGCATGGTAACCACGAAATAAATGCCCTTCGAGATCGGTCGAATAAGCGGTCACGGACGAGCTCACCACCGGGGGAACGATCGACTCCCCGGTTCTCTCGAAGATCAGGATCATGGACTGGAAAACGGACAGATGATGCGAGACTGGTGTTGTCAGTGGTGGCCTAGCCATTTCAAGACATTTACCTTAAGTTTTTGTTGCCGATGACGCATTTCCGTTTAGATAAGACATAAAGCAACCGTTCAGACAAGCCGATTTAACGTCTTCTGAGAAAAAAATGTACAACTATCGAGTATCACGAGCTAGACGAATCGTAGAGAATGCTTTTGGAATTTTGGATACTCGATTTAGAATTTTTCACACAAACATTAATTAACATCCAAAAAAAATTGAGTCAACTGTCATGGCATCTTGTGGGTTGCATAATTACTTTAAAATAAAAGTACCGAACTTATATGCACCATCAATTGTTTTTATCGTGAACAAATAGATAATGGAACCACCTTAGAAGGATATACTCCAGGAATTCTGCCAGGGTCCTTAAGATGCGAAAAATCCAGGAAATATAACCAAAACACTAAAAATGATCAGATAAGAAGTTATAAGCTATTTTAATAAAGAAAGAAGTCACAAGGCAAAATTACTTTATTTGATTTGTACATGTTTTATAAATCATAATCATTATGCAATTCAATTGTAATTTTTTTAGAGAAGAAGAATTTACTTAAAAAAATAGTATCGGCAAATTAACCATTCAATTTACCATTGAAAAACAGTAAAATAGAATATAAAGTTAAATAATAAAATATCTTAGAATCATCGTTGTGTTAAATTATACGATTGTTATTTCTATTGTTTTTAAATCAAAGTTATATTTATGACACAACATTTTAGAGAGCATTCAAAAATAAAAGAAGAAGACAAACGAAATTTGTAACAAAATTCATAATTAATTAATTAAACTTTTGTTTGTGGTGGTGAGGTGGAGTTATAAATAACTATATAAATATTAGTATTCATAGGTATTTTGTAAACATTCGTAGAAAAACACATAATTATTGTTGCACGACCATTCTCGTTAAATTGAAAATGAAAAATTTCTAAGAAAATAATTATTTGATTAGGTACATTAGTACATTTATTTTATACTTGTATGCTTAAAATTCTGAACATTTATGTTTATCTACTTTTAACTATTAAATACATACAGTGTCGAGAAAACAGAAAATATGATTAGGATAATAATAATAGTATAACAAACAATAATAAGTATAATATTATTATTGTATTGGTATTAATTATCAGTTGATTAGAAATATATCTTTTTATAATACAGGTTGGGCATTTTGTATCGAATTTGATTAGAGAAGTCATACAAAATTATTTGGGGTAAAAACTTATTTATTTAATTTTTAAACCTCATCATTGTCAGTGTCCAAATTGGAGCGTACATCTTGATCATTTAAAAATGTCATTCACGGGAAATACCATAACATATTGTGTAACATAAATGTTCATTGTTCATACATATCTTCTGAGCTTTATCCAGATTTTGACACCAATACTTTTTAAAATTTTTTTTGTATGTAGAACACAAATGGTTAATTTTTTTATGACTGATTCTTTATTTGGGTCAGGTTCTATTTCACGTTATTTTAAAATTAATTTTGAATAGGTGCCATATTTTTTGTTTCGATCATGGTTTTCTTTTTCTTTAACTTTCCAAGGACACGGTTCTGAACGATAAATATTTATAAATTGTCGGCCCACTCCCGTAGTTTGTTGCCATAGTTGAAACGGCAAAGACAAAATAAGTTGTTATAAATTGTTATAAATTAAAATATTTTTTATTATATTTTATATAATTGGTGTTACTTTTATATAACCTTTTTATAAAAGTATACTGTTCTGCAGACATTTCGTTCTGGTCGGCTCGTCTGTCTCGTACTTAATTACGTTTGGTGTGTTTTTCTCATTAATTCTAATGAATTTTTTTTATTAATTCATACTATATGGACATGCGGTCCCTACCTCAAAGTGTAGAGGATGCAGTTAAGCTCCTCCTTACACTTATAACACGGTATATTACATACTCAGAAACAATGCAAGAATGGTTATGAGCAGGGCTGTGAATTTAATGCATTTGCACGTTTTTTTTTCTATACTGTATAATAAAATGGAATCGGCCAAAATTTATTTTGACTTATTTATAGTTCAAATACCAAATCTTATTTTGCATATTTTTGCATATTTCAAGAGTTATTGCATATAAATGCATGTTTTCATGATTTTTTTTGTATAAATGCTTCTTTCGTAATATTTACATTTTTCGGTCAATCTGTTTAAAATTGAAATTAAAATATTAAATGTATTGGTACAAACTATGATTGTATAGTTAAATGGAAACTGTTCTATTTTTACTCAGATATTTAATTAACCTATTTTGACAAGTTGGGGTATGTGGGTTTCTGCCGCAATATATTATAGTGAAAACTTCTAAACTGTAAGGCAAATTTTCCAATGTTTTGATGAAAATAATGCACTTTCTATCAAAAATGCTCAAAAAGAATTGAAATCTTATCAAATGAAAGAAAATTTGGCTTACATACATTCAAATTGCTCGTGTCTTTCTATAGCTATAACGCATCTACAAAAAAAGATATTCTCCATCTGAAGCTATTGAAATTGTACAAGATATTTTGACAAAGTACCTATAGTCAATTAACAGGTACAGCTGGAACTGCTTTTAATAAAAAATTACAAATAGTTCTCAACAAAAACAAAAGATTTCAAATGTGTAATATTTCAAAAATATTAACTGGCGAAAAAGAGAACGTAGATTTTCATATACCAGATTATTTAACCAGTAACGACATGACGTATTTCAAATTTGCCTCAATAAATTTGTCAGACGTGGAACGCTCCTTTACTGTATATAAAACTTGCTTGGCACTAAACAATAGGATTTTAAGTTTGAAAATCTAAAAAAATCATTGATTGTACCATGCAATAACTACCCTAAAGGTAAAATATATATTTTTAAGTAGAAACAATCTATTCTAAGCATATTGCTTTTATGGATCTTGTATACGACAAAGATCAAGACTAGTCAAGCATAATAAGTCATATACTCATATCAATATGTAACAATCCTAGTATTGAAATTATAACTAATAAAAAATTATAATGACAAAATAAAAACAAAAGTTAAATTTTTATGTTTCATGCATATTTTTTAAAAATTAGTGAATATTCGTCTGGAAACTATGCCTTGTGGAGGAGACAAAACATTGATTTTGAAACATTAAGTGTCCTAGTTTAAATGGAAAAGTTTAAATATGTAACTACATATCCTATTTAAAATAATCAAAAAATATCATACAGTGAAGATAAACCTTAATAAAAAGTAACTAAACAAATAAGAAAAGAAAACAATGTCAAATTCTAATTAATTTATTTAAATGAGAAAAAAACACTTAAAAATAAAGTCATACAGATTAAAAAAAAAATAATAACATTTAGATACAGATTCTCATAAATGTATTAATATATATTTTACACATTCTTTATATAAATTATAATTTCGGAATCAATTTAAACTCATACTTTGTATATTAGTTACGATGATTAAAATCAATATTATAAAGGTCTTCTTTTCCTAATTAACTTTGAAAAGAAACTTCTGCAGTCTAATAAATTTTTTTTTTTGGTTTTGGCATGGACTTCGCTTAAAATTAGTATCTTTATTATTGTAATAAATAATTATACATATTACATACAATTTGTTAAAAATGAAATTTTAGATTTAGTAAGTTATAGACATCAAAATTAATATTGGTTTTTGTACGAAACAATTTATTAAACGCAATTCTTTTCTCCATAGTATAGAAGAAGCTGCCTGAACTGCTTACGCATTCCCTCCACAGAGCTTGCACATTACTTCGATAATTAAAAGATAGAAAAGTTTAGCTACACTAAGGAATGTATTTTCTATGGTTCTAATCATTTTTACATTAGTGTAATAAAATATTTCTTAATTAAACACATCAGTTCTTGATAAATTAAATCGGGCTGCGCATTGAATTTATTTCTTGTTTTACCTAAATATCATTTCCACATATTACAATGGGCTACTAAATGTGACATAATAAAACATACTTGTGCAGTATATTATTAGAACAATGCAAGAACTAAGAGCATAAAGTTATAAATTTAATTCAAAATAATGATAATAATAATAATTAAAATAATTTAACACAGAATATAATAAAATATAATATCAGAATTTAGTTATTGAATTGAACCTAATAGATGTAGTAAATCCAACTTAATAATTAAAATATATTTACTATTATTATTTTGATTTAAATGCTTAACAATAAATAAAAAAGTTGTAAATTCTAGATTTAAAATAAAAAAACACTTAAATATTTGAAACTTATGTAATTGTAAACAAATTTAACTTAATTTGTACTATGTTTAAAATGGCATATCGTATATCTATTTTAAGTATCAGGAACTTCTTTTTTTATAGCTTTGATTAGTGGCGGTTTTTCGTCAGTGTCACTCTCCCCGGTGGACGTTATGGGATCAATGCAAATGTTTCGTTTTAAATCATTGGAATTTCTAACATTTTCTATCGGTTTTACTTTTTTTTCAATATTTCCGAGATCTTCATCATCTGAGCTACCCAAATCAATTTCAAAAACAAGTTTTGAATGGCAGGTAGATGTACCAAAAACACCTTCACAACTATCATTGTCCAAACTACATGCTTTCCATTTACCATTCGCATATAGTTCTATTTCCTCGCAAGTCTTAGGTACGTTTATACTATTGATAATGAACGAAAGGAACGAGTCTATTTTCAAATCGGCTAAGGAACAGGGATTCATGCATATAGGGCACATCCATGTAGGTTCTATCTTATTCGAAGAAATGAAAGCTTGCAGGTCGAAACATTGTAAGTGATTACAATTGACAGATTTGGCAGGCAATGTCATTCTTAATTTATTTATTGGACACAACAGAGTTAACTTAAAGGCCCCCAAACTTACATCTTTACTGGAATTTTCCAACAATTTCATGGCTGTATGCTTTGTATTTAATGCCGAAAAATATCGATTATTGTCTAATTTAATATAATTCACAAAATCGTCGACAGTAATTATTTTCACCAAATATACCACCATATAAAATAACCTATCACACTGTGGCCAAATACCTCTGATAGCATTACCATTAACAGTATTTAAGTGCAAATATTCAATTGGATTAACATTTAAAGGGCTTTGTATGTGGACTGTGGGTATTAGTTTATTGTTAATACACATTATTATTGGTTGTGGTAATACTTCTGACATTTCTCTCATCCCTGGTAGTTGTTCTCCAATACGGATCTGCAACTGGTAGGCCTGATTCCTATAATTTGGACCTTTGTTTGGTTGGCAAATTAGTTGAAGATCCAATAAAGACAAATAAAATTCGGCACCAAAATAATTGCGTGCTAAAAACAGAAAATAAAATTAATTAATGAACTTCAAAATATTTATTGTTAACTATGTTTATAATTAAGAATTTACTGTTGTCCGTTCCTGCAAGACTCATTATGTCTCCAAATCTAATGAACGTGGGTGGAACAACTTGGTTTAGAATACATTGAAATGGTAAAGCTCGAAATTCTAAATTGACATCTGTATTTGGATGTGTTGCCACGTCCACGTAGAATTTAGTTTTACCGCTTAACTCGCAATCTTCCCCTGCTGCGCATAGATCCTTGACCCCTGATGAATGATCCATTTTAAAATACTCTCCTAATCTGAAAATCATAAAATAGATATATTTACTCAATTGTTTCAATTATTTATTTATTTATTTTTATCGCATTATAAAACCAATACAAATGAAGCTTATATCAAGGAAAAGGTTTTCATATTAGAACTTACTAAAAAGTATTTTCAAAATAAATATTTGATCCTTTCTTTTGGTCCAGCGATAGTAAATGTTTTAACATGTATCTATTAAACTTATTTAATACTTAATACAACATATTTTACAATATAATTGTATTTTTTTTTACTTCCACTTGAGATGGACTTAAAATTTAAACATAGTTATAGCTTAGAATATTGTAAAATTTGAGCCCTTCAGATGAATATTAAGATTGTTCAAAAGGGGAGAACTTCAAAGTTTAAATTTGTATTACTGACTGATCATTAAAAAAACTACGAGGTATTGGTTAAATGGGAAATTTGGGACAAAGGTAAATGGGTTTATTTTCAGGGGTGTTTTATTCGATTTCAGCATTCCCGCGAGTTTTGCGATGTAGGTAGCATAAACGCGGCCGTGATTGAAGGGATGGGAGGGTTTGGTCGCCAAATACTACACAACTGATTTTGACGAGTACATTAGAAATGTATTTTACATTTTAAATAAGAATTTAGATTTAGCTAAACATTTAAATAATCCAAAAGATGATTAATTTATAAATAAATAAATAACTAAACATATTTTTACATCCAAATGAAGATTAAATTAATTTTACGGTCTCATAAGATCTGAACAGATTTTATCTAAAAATCTCAATATTATTTATAAAAAAAAATACATTATTGTTGGCTTATTTATAATTTTTTGACAAAATCCTTTATAGGTTATACATGATTAGAATTAAAATTCAGTGTTTTATGAACATATGAAACAAAATGTGGTTTTAATTAAAAATGTTGTTTAATTAAATGTATGTATATAATTATACAATTATAATTTATAAATGAATAAAGCTGAATCATTATGTAAAAGTATAGATCCACTCGTGCCACAAAAAGAAATGACACAACATACAACAAAAGGACTCAAACCGGCCATAACCAGATATAAAGGTATAGGTATAAGTATATAGGTACTAAGAAAAAATTACATTTGAAAAGTCATTGTGTGCATACAATTTAATAATTTACTTTAAAAAAGTGTCAGCTATCAACGAATAACTATTTCAAAATACAATAAAATGACTAATATCATCATTCTTCGTTTAAATATTTAATTTTCGTTCAATTAATATGAACTTAAAATGTCTATAAAAATTAAAACTGTGCTTATATATATTTTTAAATTTTCTGTAACAGTGTGAATTATTTATGAAAATCTTTGTTTTAAATTTTTAA